GTATTTTCCACTGAAGGCACATCTCACTCAAGTGAGACTGGCCACAGCTCACAAGTGCAATGGCCACATGAGGAGACTGGCTGCCACAATGGATGGGTCAGTATTCAAGTATCAACATGAAAGTATTTTACTGCAACACGAGGGGAGACTATGCCCTGTGAAAAAGCAACTTCTTTCAGTGTATTAATACTTTCTTTGTGTCCAAGCATAACATCAGTTTTGTAACTGAACATGGTCTTAGGAAAATATTATTTTTTTTGTAGGATTGGAGTTGAATCCGTGTGTATATACACTCTTAACTTTATATCATGGTGTTATTCAGAGTCTTTTTGTTCCTGTTGTATTTGTCTAAAGAGCTTTCAAGTTCTGAGAGGGGAATTTAAAAAAACTCTTGTTCAGGTATGTTTCTCACTTTCTCCACATATTTCCAATCATTATTCATCTTTAGCTTTATTTGTCATTTGTACTTACATTTATGTCTACTCATTTACTCATCCAAGTTTTACTAACCATCTCCTTGGTGCCTGGCATTAAAGATACAAAATAGCCTGGCCAGTGTGGCTCACCAGGAGATCACCACTGGATACCCTGTCAGGGCACATGCCCTGGTGGCAGGTTCCATCCCCAAAAGGGGGTGTGCAGGAAGCAGCCAATCTATGATTCTCTCTCATTATTGATGTTTCTATCTCTCTCTCCCTCTCCCTTCCTCTTTCTGAAATCAATAAAAAAAAAATTTTTTTAAGACCAAAAAAGGAATAAGACCAAGGCCTTGCACCCTAATCAGGAGACAGACAATAAATAATGTAAACAAATAAATAAACAGAAAACTATCTGGGTCCGAGAAGCCCAATGCAACAAGTTACAACAGCATGGAAAACTCACTGAAAGTTGGGAACAAGGGAACAGCCACTGCAAAGGCCCTAAGGCAGAAACCTGCCTATGTGTTTAAGGAACAGTGAGGAGGCCCCTGTGCCTGCAGCTGATGCAGGGAGTGGGAGAGAACAGGAGATGGAGTGTAGAAGGAGCAAAGAGGCCTGATGTTGTGGGGCCCTATGGGCCATCTTAGCTTCATGTTTTATTGTTTTACTATCTATCCAGTCATTCATTAGAATAATTCATTTATTTAAATTAAACTATTATTATTTAATGAGCACTAAGTAGTAGGTTCTGGCAATGAATTAGATAGATAAGAGCCCTGTCACCCATATGGATCTCATAAACAGAGAAAAAAAATAAACAATTTGATAGAAAAGCAATAGAAACATATGTGTCCAATTACAAAATAAAATGCACACTTCCAATGTGCCAGACACTGTCCCAAGCTGTCTGCGTATGTGTTCATTTAATTCTTATGACAATATTACAAGGTAGATATAATGATTGTCCCCATTTGACAGATGAGAGCCAGCAGCCCTCCCCAGATCACAACCAGGACCAGGCCGGTCTTTCTTTCCTTTCCTGTCCCAGTACTACTTCCCAGTCAGCACCCTCCTCTTCTCCCTCCAACTCCTTCACACTACAGTGTTGCCCCAAAGACTCCCAGGGCCTGGGGAAAACAGCTTTTACAATCCCTCGGGCCTCTGTTGCTGGTACCTGCTGGTGCCTGTCCTGGTGAAGGGGCCACAAGCACCTGACCCTGCCTTCCACCATGTCCCTTACCTCTAGTCCCTAGAACCTTCTGCTCCTGTGGCTTGTGGAGCACTGACTCATATTGCTGAGTTCTTCATTAAACTGAGGACTGTGGAATTTGTTGAGCAGACAGGTGGCATGAGAGGGCTGTAAGCAGAGGTGGAGTGGGTCAGTTCTGGGTGCAGGAAGGCCCTGCTGGGGCCATGAGAGGCGGACAGACCGGAGGCCAAATTGTGGCTCAAAGAGGGCCCAGGGACAGAGGGCAGAAGCTGAGCCAGCTGAGAACCATGGAGATGGAGAGGAGAGGATGGGTGGGTTCAGAGGTCAGGAAACAGTAAGAAAGGGGGCTGGAGACTGGGAAGCTTCGGGGTAGGGGAAGGTGTTGGCACAGAGAACCTTGGGTCTTGTCCAATGACTGAATGGACAGAGGGGAAGCTGGGTAATGAGGAAGATGAGGGAAAGACAGTGAGCTCAGTGGGAACTGTGGGTGTGAAGGGCCACAAGGGATATATTTGGGCCCAAGAGTCTATAAGCCAGGAAAGTGTGGCCTCATGGAGCATGGGGAGGGGAACCCTATGCAAACCCTCCAAGAGTGAAAATGCTCAGGGTGTTCCAATAACTTTAGCCAGATTTAGGTGCGTGTGGGTGAAGCCTTGAAAAATACCACAGAAAACCAAGGCCTCAAACACCAGGCAAGGGTGCCGGGATTTCCTGCCCAGGGCAGCAGCATCATGGGACGCCTGTGACGGAAGAAAGAACCTGGGAACAGGTGTGGGGCAGGAGGCAGGTGGATTGAAGGGGGTGAGGGTAGGAAATTCCCAGTGGGTTCCTGATGAGCACAGAGAGCTCTAACAAGAGACACGTTGTAGTGATCACTTGCACACATAGCACCTCAGTGACACAGGTCTTGTGCTGGGCTTTCTACAAATTCACTCACTTAACTGCAAAGCTGGGGCCTTTATTATCCCATTCAGGACAGACGCTGACCCCAAGGCACAGACGGTAAATAATTTGCCAAAGTCATATAGCTTGTGAGTCACAGAGCCAAGATTTGACTTGACTCTGGACCTTCTGCTACCAGCATCTGAGCCTTTCACTCTTCTGCCTCAATTTCCTGATCTGTCCAAAAGATACTGGTCATCATCCTTCTAGCACCGAACTGTCTGTCCCCAGATCTATTAAAGAGACACAAGCATTCCCTGCATCTTTTCTTGGAATTCACAGTGAATTATTTAAAATACATAAAATGATGCACACAGATTTTGGTGCTGAAAACTTTGAAATAAATGTTAGCTACGAGAATGTTGATCGAATTACTTCACCATTAAAAGATGAGCTCTATAAAGCATCAAGACCATATAGTCCACCTTTCAACATCCTCAGACAATGGAGAAAAGGTACTTGAGGGGAACACTATTGTATTGTAGCTCAATTTAACAAATCATATAAAAGGAATAAAAGAGCTACTGAATATTAGACTAACTCACTAACACTAGGTGCTGACTGTTAAGAACATAGACATCCTTACCAAGTGCACACTGAAATAGCCTAATATTATTTACTATGTTGCAATAGACGTTTCCACATATGATAAAGAGTAGAAAGAACATAGGGTTTGTCTCCTAAACTAAACACAATATAACTAAAAGGGAAAAAATTGGGGATTTAAAAAAATATGATGACTTATTGGGTGTGTTTTTTATTTATTTAAGCTACGTCATAATTAAAAAAGAATGATAAGAGCTGTTATGAGATGTCACCAATATTTATTTCAGAAGTTAATGACCTTTTACAAAAAAGGCAGAAATTCAATAAACAAAGATTTATTTCAATATGCTTTAAAAAACACAATGAAGTGAATGCGAGAGAGGTAGAAAGAAAAATGTAAATCTATTTCAAATAAATAAAAGACCAACACTTTTAATATTCTTTGAAAAAACATCATGCGGTGATAGATTTGGTCATTTCTCATCCCAGTTCACCTCTCTAATCTAGGAAATGAGAAGAGACCCAAGACAAGTCTCTCCCTTCTGGCTGAACAGGGGTTGCAAATGGATGCTATCCAGAGATGCAAATAATTGTAAAATACACGGGCCTTTTGAACTGGAATTTTGCAATTCTCCTGCTCATCTGCATAACTGAAATAATTAAGCAGATTTTAAAGTGCACAGCTTATAAGCCACAGGTCAGCAAATCACAACTCAATCAGCCACCTCCCATCCGTTCTCCACTCATCCAGATCGGGGTTCCCTTCTTCCTCCATGAAGGTGTATTGCTGCCCATCAATCTGTTTAGCTTCTCCTGTTTCTCTCCACTGTTGTCCTTCCCTGTGTATCTCCTCTCTCCTCCCCTCTCTGCCTCCCCTTTTCTCTCTTCCTCTCCTTATAGCTGTTCCTTGAAACTCCTGAACCCTCAATCACCTTCCATAGCGCTTTCTCCCTAATCTCTCTTTGTTCCCCATCGCCCTGTATTTCAGCCTCTTTCTCCCCCAGCCCTGGGTCCCCTCTGCCTCCAGTGACCTTGTCTTTCGGGTTACACGGGTTACACACCCTCCGCCCCACTCCCTGGCTTCCCCGCCTGGCTAAGCTCTCGGCGCTGCTTCTGCCTCTGCTCGGCCATCCCTTCCTCCCTTTCCGTTCGGGCACTGGGCTCCTCCGACTCTCTTCTCCCTCTGAAGTGCCTGGGCCTTTGTGCCCCACTTCTGCCAACCAAGGGCGCCCCTTCCTCCAGGGCTCTCTATTTTCTTTCTCCATCTGCTACTTTTCCGAGTTACTCTTTCCCACTTACCGTGGCGTTACCAGGCCCTCCCACGTCCTCAGTTTCGCCGTCTCTTTGTGGGCTGACCTCGCTCCTCTGTGACTTCTCAGCAGCCCTGTCTCTGGATCCCCCGCACTCCCGCACCACCCGCACCGGGCCGCTTTCCTGGCCTCCCCGTCGCAGGCACCGCCTGCACAAAGCCACTCCCCGCCAGGGGGTAGGTGACCTCTTCTTGGGACACCCCGTGTTCTCCTGTCCTAAATCCCAGCTCCCTGGAGAGTGTACTCTTCTTGGCATCCGGCCTCCTACTTAGTAAGTGGGAGGTGGCGGGAGGGGGTGCCTTCAAAGGGAAGGGGGCCTGCAGGTTCCCCGGCCGGGGAGGAATCGGGCGCTCCAGGCCGGGAACTGCGAGGCTGGGGAGGGGAGCGGAGGGCTGGACTCCATCCCCGAGACTTTAAACGGCCTGCGCAGGGAGGGCTGGCCCGTGAGAGCCACGCGCGGGGGGCGGTGTGCAGTGGCCCCAAGAAGAAAAGACCAGAAAGAGTTGAACCAGAAACTACCGCGGACCCTCCACCCGGAAGCGAAGCCCTCAGGGCTCGGGAGGCGAGACTCACCCCGTTGGAGACGCGGTCTGGGGATCTCCAGGCCCGCCGCGACCCCGGGCTTCCAGGCGCGGGGCTGTGCGCGCAGATGCTCGGGCTCGCACAACAAAGGCCAAAAGTCGCAGACCCGGAGTGACCTTCCCCCGCGCGGGCCGCTTCCGGGTCCGGAAGGAACGGCGCGTGCGCGAAGCGGCCAGCGGGGGCGGGGCTCGGGGCGGCCTGGACTCAGCGGACAATGGGAGGGTGGCCAGGGCCGCGCCAACGC